TTGGCCTTTCGTGGCCGACGCATTCAACATGTTGAATCGGCCATACGTCGGGTCGGGCAGTCGGGCCAAATAAATCACTCTGATTGGCTGTTCAGCTGGCGAATCAGTGCATGAGAAGCGAAACGGAAGTGAGGGACGTAAACAAACGCTTTAAGAAGGCACGAAGAATGTCTTCCACAAGCAACACTCCAATGGCTGATAGCTCCAGTACCGCACGAGACATGTTTTCGATGAAGGAGAGTGAAAACGGAACGCACACGCTATTTGTTGTTTGTTTATATCACGCAGTCTGTTCTTCTTCTCTCGGTTATCACGCAGTCTGTCTTCCGGTTGTTGCCTCTTTTGAATGACGAATACACACTACCGCCGCCTGCTGGTAAGGACAGTTATTGCCACTCACGCATGCGCAGTTCGTACGTGCTTCTTGGCCGTCGGCTAAAGTCTTTGTGGTGTGTTCCAGTGCCACTGTTGCCCAAGAAGCAGAGACGTGAGGCGACACAACAGTCTGTTCCATCAGGACGTGTTCTCTGGGGTCAGCTTGGTGTGTCCGGGCCTTTAGAGTGTTACTCACTACAGGGTGTACTTTGAGGGTTTTGACTCTGCAGACCGTTTACATGCTGAAAAACCTTCATAACACACAAGGGGACGGGTAAGAACCAGAAAAGCATGACATGGGACCTTTAAGGGTTGAATCCACACGTCTCTTGGCGCTCCATTACCGACCTAGAGATACTTTTGAAGTGGACATAGTGAAATAAACACAACCACTATAACATTATCAGGTGTGCGGACGCATGCCGGCGAAAATACGTTTTCATTCCACCTTGCAGACTTCCAATGCCTCAGTAGCGTCACGCCATTGGACCTGAGCACTATATAGTAATAAACATGAACCAGACATAATGATCGGCCTAAATGGCTCCTACAGGGGGGGTCACAATGAGGGATTCTGATGAACGTATATCAGATATCACAATCACATACCTCGGTAGAACCACACGATGAAGTGTTAAAGGTCACCTATTATGCAAAATCCACTTTTTCATGTCTTTTATACATAAACATGTGTCCCCTCTGTGTAAAGAGACTGTCAAAGTTTCAGGAAAAAAACAACCGAGGTAACAACCCCCCCCCCTTATCACCTGAATCTCCTCCTAGAGCTCCATTGAGTTCTTTGTAACCAAATGTCTCTCAGAGGGGCGTGGGGAGGGGCTCCTTATTTTCATCTAAAGTAACAGACAGAGAATCAGCACTTTGGAAACAGGGCTGAAACAGAGGGGATTATGGGTAATGCTGCAATGATCTGTTTGGCATTTCAGCCAATCAGTGACAGGCTCTGTGTAAATCTGAGACATGTGAGATATTGATGAAGAAGAGTATAATAGGGGACCTTTAAATGACGCGTTGTGTTTCGTCCTTGTTTCTCTGTTAGTGACCTCGCTGCTGTACGGCGAGCTGCTGTCCGCCGTGTCCAACCGGACGCTCAGCGAGGACCAGACCAGCAAACTGATGGAGGTCCTGAACCAGAAGGCCGGCGACTCCTGGCAGCTGGTACATAAACACAACAGATTCAATGTTAGCCGCTAGAACCATCACTGCAGATGTTAGCAGAAAACAGAGTCCTGCAGCATCTCCTGGACCAATGGGAGCCCTCCATGTGATTTAGGGTTATGTCTGAAAATAATCTCTGTCAAACTAATGTTTATGATTCTGACACGTTTAGTTCAGCAGGATAATCTCCACATATTAACACCACTTCATGATTTCTGAAGTAAAAAGCTAAACCCAGTGGGCTATTTACTGACGAGTGTAAAACGTTAACATCTCTTCAGCTTGTGTTAACCACAGACCTTATTTCAGGATAACAACCAAACACACATTTAGAAAACCATTGACCTCCACACCCACGGACATGAAGTGAAGAAATGCTGACTCAGGTCAGGGTTCAGGACTCATAATGCTGACTCAGGTCAGGGTTCAGGACTCATGATGCTGACTCAGGGTTCAGGACTCATGATGCTGACTCAGGTCAGGGTTCAGGACTCATAATGCTGACTCAGGTCACGGTTCAGGACTCATAATGCTGACTCAGGTCAGGGTTCAGGACTCATGATGCTGACTCAGGTCAGGGTTCAGGACTCATCTCCTCCAGAAAGTTCTTGACAGCTGGTTTTAGTCTTGTAGTATGTTACAGTAACGTCTGTTCGTCCCTCAGGCTTGTCAGAAAGGAGACCCTCTGTCCACCCTGAAGAAGCAGCTGGAGGAGAAGGAGAAGCTTCGGACCGCCGAGCAGGAAGTTGCCGCCGCCGCCAAGACCCGCCTCAAAGAGCTCAGCAAGGTGAGTCATGTGATCTCTAAAGAGTTAATCATTATGTCCTGTTAGTTTCTCAATATCACAACAACGCTACCAAACACAGAACGCTAACAGGACACCTTAGAGTATCTTCCTCCTGTAAAGGTGCTCTTCAAAAGGTTGCTCAGATTAACCAAATGAATGTTTTCTGATTAAATGTTATGGTCGTAGAGGTACATGGGTACATGGGTTGGTAAACTTGATGAGTCAGTGTTCTTACGATTCGATAACACTTTATTATCATATCGAGTCTGCATCACAGCAGCTTCATTTTCTTACCTTGTAGTTTCTCCATCAGAACTCACCTCGGTTCTTCTTGGTTTCCTCCTTCAGGAACTTGGTGCAGAGAAATCCAAGATGGGCTCTCTGGATGCGCGTCTGAAGGCGGAGCTGAGCGCTCAGACTCAGAAACTGGACGCCATGCGGGTCAGCATGGAGGCCGGCGAGCAGGAGCACCTGAAACTCACCGAGACGCTGAACCAGAAGGTACGCTCCGACTCTCTGTTCCTGAGGGGCAAGGTCAAGTTTCTCATCAAGGGTTTGATGTCCATGAGGGACAGCTAGGTTAAATCTTAAGTCCTGTTAACGAAACGCCTCAAGTCCTTAAGGGTTGATCAAGTGAAGTCTTCAAGAAGCCAAGGCCAGGAAAAGTCCTTTAGGGAAAGTCTACATCCAGAACATCTTGAGGGTATGATTGAATCATATTTCCATTCCTGGGGTGCAGGTCCAAGTCAAGACTCAAGTCCCGGGTTGTGTTTCTCTGAGTAGATGTAATTCAGTTCTAATTCAGTTGTTCAGAAATCCTTTTCTTGTCCCACACCGGGACCAAATGGCAAGTTTGATCTTAATCCTGTGTCTCATATCAGCTAACGTTCTGTTTACCGTGGACAGATCGGTGTGTTTGTAGCCTGTTGAGCTAACAGTGTATTTGTAGCATGTTGAGCTAACGGTGTGTTTACCGTTGACAGATTGGTGTGTTTGTAGCCTGTTGAGGTAACAGTGTATTGTAGCATGTTGAGCTAACGGTGTGTTTACCTTGACAGGTTGTTGTTCTGCAGGAGCAGCTGGAGAACGGGCCGAACGCTCAGCTGGCTCGGCTGCAGCAGGAGAACTCGATCCTGCGCGACGCTCTGAACCAAGCGAGCAGCCAGGCGGAGAGCCGGCAGAACGCCGAGCTGGCCCGTCTGCGGAGTGACTGCCTGCACCTCAGCCGCGAGCTAACGGAGCGTAGCGACGCTCTGCGCGCCGACGAGGAGCGCCGCCGCGGCCTGGAGGCAAAGATGGCCGCCGCCGAGCAGGAAGCAGCCCAAACCCGGGTCAGAAACACGAGAGGCTGAAACACGAGAGGCTTAAACACTGCACACCACTCCACTCTCTCAGGGTTCCCAATTATAAGAAACAACCACATGTAGCATCAGAAACCTCACAGATAACTCACTGAACCAAACGTATCAGACATAAGACAACATTCGTATGTCTTTAAAGATTCATTCATGTTTCAGGTATTGAGACATTGAGCCTGTTCTTAACGTGGTGTAGAAGTCTAGCATTGCATTTGCAAAGAATAAGACAAGAATAGTCCAAATCTGATCCCAGAGGTTATCCTGACTCTCTTTATGGATTCACATTAGGAGAAGTTGTGGATGGTCCCAGGCACTCGTTTAGTTTTCCTAGCGATACTAAGAGTTGACGTTAAAACACTGCAGGACACCGATTGGTCGGAGAGAACAAGACATCCTGGCTGAGTCACCATTTTAAATAACAAACTACCATCAAAAGTGTTCAGATGTTTTATGTTCATCAGACCAGATTATTATGGCAACCTGAAGTGACAGACGAGGCTCTCTTCGGATTAAAGGCTTTAGGGTTAGCTTAATGCTAAAAGTGAGCCATTTATATGTGTAGCTGTGGCTAACAGGAAGTGTGTTGTGTGTTTAGCTGCAGCTAACAGGAAGTGTGTTGTGAGTTTGTGTGTGTAGCTAACAGGAAGTGTGTTGTGTGTTTAGCTGCAGCTAACAGGAAGTGTGTTGTACGTTTGTGTGTGTAGCTAACAGGAAGTGTGTTGTGT